ATTTAACAATTTTAGGGTGTCATCTAGATGAAGAGGGGGTGCTAGTATGATGAAACAGGTATTCTAGCATCAAAATCATAAAAAAACATAAAAAAGTTGAATAAGTAACCGAATAAGGAACCGGGAATAAGTAACCAACTTCACATTTGAATAAGTAACCGAATAAGGAATAAGGAACCAGGAATCAACTTCACAGGGGTTAACTTAAGGTTTTAATTTTGGCGTAAGGTAACTTTGATGTCGATTGCTTTTTTATGTACAGACACAGATGTGCCTGTACTTATTGCCATCACCTGCGTCTGTTGTCGCCGTCGTCGCCGTGCACTTTCACCGATAACACGATAAGTGAAAAACCATTTTACTTTTTGGCTTGAAACTTCCAGAACTAATGAATATTCATAATCCGCAGGTCAAGTTCGAAAATCAGCATGATTGGGTCATTTTTACGTAAGTGATGCTGTTTTTTTTTTCACTTTTTTTCAGCGTATATGTAACACCGATAACACAATTAGTGGAAATCCGTTTTACCTTTTGGCTTAAAACTTACAGAACTGATGAATATTCATAATACGCAGGACAAGTTTGAAAATCAGCATGATTGGACCATTTTTTTTTCTTTCTTCAGCATATATGCAACACTGATAACACATTTCAGCTGATAAGCAATTGTTTTGCAATTTACAGGAGTGATCAATCTTACTTAAATACAGTTTGGGTTTGAAAACCAGCTTGATTGGTTCAGTTTTGATGAAGTTATGCCCTTTTTTGTATATAAGTGTTTTTTCCTCAGATTCTCAGGCATGTTAATAGTCTCATTATTAAACTAATTAGATGCGTAAAAGAGTTCTTTTGACATTTTCTGCATCTTAACATCATTGTTAGTATAAAAATGTCAAAAATGGAAATAAACTCATGAGTCATATCATTGAAGTTTGTCAAATTCAATCATTTACTACGTTCAGAATCTCAGAATAGAGCAAATTGGACATTTAAAATTGTTCCATTGATATTTTTCCCCATGTCAACAATTATCATAGATGATCATATTAACATGACAGTAAATGGATTATTTTGCTTTATATAAAGTGTTGAAAATGGCAAGAAATGCATTTCAGTAGTGGTCAGTCTGTAATTGTCCCTTGGGTAATCACTAGTGAACTTCAGAGCTATTACATCACTTGTCTAATTAAGTTTCAAGTGACCATTAAATGAGATTACATAAAACACACATGTTGTGATTTCCCTGTAAACTCCCATCAGTTTAGCTCTCTGCCAGATACAGTTTGCGAAAGTCTAAATCATTAGTGTCGTGTAATTAATAATCAGTGATAATTATGTAGGTAAATGTTGTTTAATATTGCAAATGAGATTACAGAAGAAAAAACTATTTTGTGTAATGCCAACATTAATGCTATAGATGAATAACAGTGCTTTATTATCCTCAAACTCAATTGGGTTATTAATATCATGTTATACAGCTGGATTAAAAGTATATATAGCATCTTTATTAGTATATTTTTTTCTTTTTTAATCTTAAATTTTTTAAACACTGGCATTTTCAAATGTGACTTAACTCCCATCCACCTGGCCCTGGTTTCAGAAAAAAACTTCAGTTCCCTGGCTTAGTTGATTAGGATTTCCAAGAGAGTGCTTTTACACTGCTCCCAGTAGGGTAAGATATGACCATGTAACCTTGGTAATTAAGTTCTTAGCCAGGGAAATTGACAAGTTTTTGTGAAACATGGGGGCCTGAACCTCTGTACATTTTATGTATTTCCACATAAGCTATAATATTGGTGTTAATGCAGTTAAATATTATATAATATTGTTTTGCACTGTCATAATTTTTCACATGTTGGTATTTTCATTATGTGAATTTGAACTCTCATGGTCATGAAACTGTAATCTTAGTGACCATCTTACCTGTTGTGCACGATTAGAATTTAGTGTTGACTTTGCTGTCACAAGTATTATTTATTATTACATCAAAATTGACAAAGTGACCTATATTCTGCATCCTTATTTTCTGCTTTTTGTCTGTACATTTGACGGCTTTGCTGCCTTTTTTGTGCTATCCGAGCCTGAACATCGGACAAGTCAGTAAACACCCACATCAGTTCAAGTGCCCTTTTCTTTTTGATGTAAAAAGCATGTGTCGTATTTCCCGAGCCTGCCGTTTAGTTATATATTGTTAACATTACCTTCTCATTTCAGGAGTCTACTGAGATACTGAGAACTGTACGACAGCCGCCTGCTAGCAACCAAGTCTTTCGTCCACGTTCTGGGACCCTACGAGCATTCATGCATCTGTTGTATTAAAGTTGAATAAATACATTTGTAATTCCTTGGGTTTTTTCACTTTGATATGAAATAATGATGATAAAAATATTAGTAATAATAAAGCGAAAGGGGTAAAATTATAAAGATATGATTAATGTCTGAGCACTTTTAAGTTTAGTCTGCTAAAACTGATCTGTAAATATTGAGTTTGTTTTTACAGTAACAGAATGTCTTAAATCATGCAGTGTTTTGTAAATAATTGAGTTTGAGTATTTTAAGAAAACTACAAAATTTAACAACAGCCCACATTTATAAACACAATTTATATGAATTTACGACTCACTTTTGAAAATCTATTCTACATTTTGTTCTATAGTTAAACGGTTTTTTAATATTTCTTGGAATGAATTAGTTCGTCCTCCCCGATGTCATTTTCATAATTTTATACGGGTCCATTTTTAAAGGGTTCTGGTTTTTGCTACAGAAAATTGATTCTAATTTTACGCCCTTCTCATCTGATGAATGCTTCAATTTTAAACAAAAATGAGAAAGTTGACACACTTTTTGAAATGGTAACAGTTGAAATCTGCTTCTCCAACAAAACATGGGGTCTGTACATTCTGATATTTTTTAAAGAATGAAAATAATATAAAAAATATATTGATCCTTTAGTTTTGTGACGTATATTTATTTCCAAATAGTCCCAAATGCACAGACAAAAATATAGCATTAAACTGTGGAAAAGAAAATTTTTAGACCAAAAATTTAATGTCTATTTCTGCATTATACAAGTTTATATCATCCAAATACTTTGGTAACGTTATTAAAAATGTGTTCTTTATACACTTAATTGCAGCGGCATTAAAATGTAATTTTGTGATTATTTAACTTGCACCTCAAGTGGGAATAAATTGCCCCACATGCCATCCCTCATTTGGAATGGACTCGCCCTACCTGNTATTCTAGCATCAAAATCATAAAAAAACATAAAAAAGTTGAATAAGTAACCGAATAAGGAACCGGGAATAAGTAACCAACTTCACATTTGAATAAGTAACCGAATAAGGAATAAGGAACCAGGAATCAACTTCACCGGGGTCTGGGACAGGGCTTATCCATACAGCATACTACAGCTGCGAACAGTACAAGACGCACAGGCAGTAGAGGAAGGACCAATTATTCGATAAATATTTAAGTTTTGATACAAGGTAGGTTCTTTTTTATTATAGCAAGGAATAGAAAATCAATGTATGTTTAATTTCTATAACTAGCATTTTTTCCAGGCAATGTGTGGAATAATAGTTGATTATAAATTATAACCTGAACATGCACAGCGTTAAAAAAAACTTAAAATTAAGTAAAAACTTATACCTCAGATTGTTCGTAGTTAATAATTTAGAAGGGGACTAAAATTAGAGTTGAAATGAAAAAACGTTCAAACATAAAACGTAAGTTTTGTTTCAACAACAGTTATAAGTTAAAATAAAATAAGCAACTTATGTAAGAATGCTTACTGGTCATAACGATTGTTAGGATTTATTTTCAACTCTGCTGTTAATCTTTAACCTTTTAAAAATATTTTTCCTCGGACACTTAAAATTCTGTTCATGTACAATGTAGCTCGCTTAAGTTTTTTTACCATGGAGATTTTTATGTTTTGATCTGTTAAGATCATATTACATTTGTTTTGTTGTCAAAATTAAACATTTGAAACCACAATCAGTTTTTATATTTTACAAAACTCATTATATAATTTTAGATCAATTTTATTTATTCATGCTTTCGAAACTGCATTTTACATTTCTGTTGATATTTAGACCCGTTTTAACACTTTAAAATGTAATGTGGCATACCCGTACGACGTGTTATTTACACGGTGGTGAAGCGATGCAGTTACACAAAACACCTTTGAGCCCAAGCAAGATACACATTGTGTTGATTGCATATTTTTTCAAAACTCGACTTTGTGATATTAGTTATGGTGGTCACACGAACTATAAATACCCTTTCGGGTTGAACTAAATAGTTGCAGATACTTATACATTTTTAAACTTGGTTTTGCGATATAAATATAGTTCTGGTAGTCACACAAACTAAATACCCTATCGGTTTTTCGAATTAAACTAAATTCGAATTCTCTTTTTATTACTTGTTTTCTTGGTTGAAGCCTGGGTCATATTCGTAGTGTTAATGCTTAGTCACTAACGTGGCCTTTAGTTCTCAACTTCTTTCAGACTTCAAGCTATCCCTTGCTGTTTAGGGTGTGATTGAAATTTCCTATTTGTAAATTCTGTCTCAGCATTTGATTGAGGGGTAATGGTCTATTTATCTTCGGGTGCACTCTTTTCATTGATCTGCTCTTTTCGATTATGTCAACGGCCCATGCGTATGTTGAAAATATATCAAGCAATGCTGACAAGCAATTATATTTTGCCATGTTGTGATCACCCACTTGCCATTTATCGTCAGCTTGAAATCGCTTCCTTGTTTGTGCACCTCGTTTGGCTAATAACTTTTTAATTTTGCGTGCATCATGGCTCAGTTTTGTCGTGTTTTCTAGACTAGCAGGGTTATGATAGAGTTTTCCTGGGTCTTCTCCCGCGTGCCCCTTACTTCTACGGTTCTTTTTATCAGTGTGTCTTCTTTTCATCCTTCCTATTTCAACTGTTTTGCGTAAATGAAGCTCACCTGTTCGAACACTGCATTTTTAAAATAGAGTGTATGTTTTTTGAAATGGTGTTACGGGGTTTCCGTCTACTTCATCAAAGCCTATGTTTAAAAGTGTTTTCACTGTACTGGGTGTGTAGTTTGGTTTCTTTTCATGTGCGACAAACAACTGTACCAATTCGTGTCTATTTTCGGGCGTCAGTGAAACATTTAGTGGATTCTTCAATCTTTTTTCTACTGTATTCATAGTACACTGTGGACTGTGGCGTTCATGCTCAATGTCAGCCGCATCCCTCAATGGGTCCCAGTTGCTAAGACTGACCCGACAATTAAAACAAAGGACCGCGTCGTTTGTATTTCGGGCATTTGGGTCCCTGTAAAACCCACTGATGGCTAAAGGTATAGGATTGATTAATAATTTGCCAGGCCAATTTAGAAAACTCAGAACTCTATCTTTTTCCCTACAATAAGGCACTTCAAAAAACAAGGGCTTGTCTTCGGGTGCACAATCGGTGAATACTTCACTGTCATCCATTCTTTAACTGTCTGATGTAACTAAAACGTTTGTTTTAATACTCTGTTCAGTAACCAATCAGAAAATATCTGTTTTTAAACAACCAATCAGTATCGTCTTATTACAATCAATCATAAAACATTAGAATGAGTGACATTCTGCAGTTACATGTTATTTCAACCAAATGTTCACAAGCACATCTATTTTTAGATATTATGTCATAATCAATTAATCAAATTGCAGTATCATATCATTTCAACCAATCAAATGCCTCAGAAATAAATCTAATTTTAGAATGATGTCATAATCAACCAATAGGATTGCTCCTTGCAATATATAGATCATTTATTTTTGCATTAGCCAATTATATTTGAGTGCATAGTTCTATATCTGGTATGTATAACAAGTTATATATTCATTGCAGCAACCATGGTCTACACATGCAAAACATGCCAGAAAACGTTTCTCCTGAAGAAGTATCTGATCCGCCATAAAGGTGTTGATCACGGTTTTAAAACCCACGAATGTGATATCTGCGGGACAAAATTCAGTCGCCTCGATCAACTTAAACAGCATCGCATCAGCCACAGCACTGAAAATGCCATTAAATGTCCTACTTGTGGAAAAGGATTTGGGAACAGAAGCAACATGCTTCGTCACATGCGCTTACACTCGACCAGACTAAAACAACCGACCTTAAGATGCCCCGAGTGTGCCGAAGTATTTGCCACCCCACAGGGCCGGCTAAACCACCAGGCTGAAGCTCATCCGCAACCAGGGCCCTCGAACAAAAGAAAAGCAGATTCTCAATCCAGCATCGTTCATAAAAAACTACAAATGGGGTATGGCGCTGCGAATATCCTTTCCCCTGATCCAGTCAGCATGCCTGAAGATCTTCTTCCTCCTGATACTGAGCCTGTTGTACGCGACGCCTACATGCAACATTGGAGTAGCATCCGCACTCGATTCTCTAGGGGAAACAAATTACAAGACTGGTACAACTTTCGGTTGACTTCTATTAACCCTGACGATCTTCGAGAAGGGTTAGCTGCCGTGTTTAAAGACCAAAAGACTGTCTTTAAGCTGAATGTGTCTTACGGATTTTTTTAAAGAAACAGCGAGACACGGGAAATACGGTATTATCACCCCAGCAGCAACAATCACTGTTTCCTTGAAGAACCGTATTTGATCCAAAACAAAGACGATCTAGACGGCTTTTTCGAGCGTATTACTGTCAGGGATATTTTGGAGTGCGCCCGGCAGGAGAGACCCAACTCCAGATGGATAGTAGAGATGATCACTAACGTTACGTTCTACGTGACCAAGCTAGTAGGTCATCCGATCGGCAGCGCTGGCCTTCTACCGAACTTTATCTCCAACAACAAGGGTTTGGTCGCACTGCAAGGAGATAAGAATGGTTGTTATAAAGACAATTTGTGCGTTTTCCGCTGCTTAGCCTTGCACAGGGGGTGGCCTGTATTTCAACTAGAAAAAACCACTTAACACCTTTTTGAAAAATACAGAGCTGAGACCAGGTGCAAGATAAAAGGATTTGAGGGTGTGTCGCTCAACCCACTGGAGCGAGTTGAAAAGCTGTTCGAAGTCAACATAACGGTATACGAGCTGCAGGAAACAGAAGACGGTGCGACTTTTGCTGAACTTGTGCGTCGATCGCTGAGTGCGAACAAGGAAACCATGTCGCTTAATGTGTATGAAAATCACTTTTCGTACATACGTGACATGGGGAAATACACTCAGTCTTTTTGCTGCTCAAAATGCAACAAAATGTTCAAGCACAAAGGTAACCTACATGCTCACGAACGGACATGTGAAGCTATCGTCGAGCACCGCTTCCCTGGAAAAGCTTACACACCCCAACAGACAATATTTGAACAGTTGGAAGATGAAGG